TCTACAAGAGCCAAAGAGCCAGAGAGCACTTCCGTGACACCTGCCCGGTACCATAAGGAATCATCGGGAAACTCTGCTTCAACGAGGTCGCCTGGATCTACCTGAGTGATGGTGCGCTTGGGAGTGGACAGTGGCTCATTAAGCTTGTCAACAAGGGAGAATATTTCATCCTCTTCTCTGACAAGCTGCACATAGAAACTCGACGGGCTGTTGTAATGTGAAACATAAACGTCCGCTTCCATATCCACTGTGATCACATTTTTGGGCAAGTCTTTAAGTTTAGCGACTTTTGGATAATTGGCTTTGGGGAGCACAATGCCAAATTCTTGAACGGGTGATTCAGGATCCAATATTGAGTTGTTTGTGACTGTGAGATTTTCTTTTCTTTCGGTCTGACTACTTTGCTTGTTGGGATGATGCCGTTGATGTGGCGGTTGATACAGTTCTTGCGAGGAGGTTTTACCTTTCCGCTCATTCCGCAAATTCCGTCTTGGAGGTTGTGTCGCTTGCTGTGCTGGTTTTGTGTCAAAGGCGGTGTTTTTTTGTCGGACCTGAGCAGACACAAATGTTGCTTCTTTTTCCCCGTTGGCATCCTCAAGAGCTTTCCGACGCTGGGATACACCTTGACATTCAGTCGGCACCTGTAGCTGAAAATTTTTCTTCAGCTTTGAATTGATTTGAGTGTTTTTGTCATATAGTTCAACCAGGAGACTCCCACTGGGTTCCTTGGCTAAAGCTATTGCTCGGAACTTGCATTCTGTCGCAGACGTTTGAAACCAGTTATTCACCTCAGCGGGAACATCGATCGGGACATCAGATAGACGGCACAGCACTGCTTGCATAGGGACAGACATGATGTCATTGGCCTCTTTGGGCACTGGAAGCACGTCTGAATGGGCCACTTCGGCCGTATCGCCATAATCAACAAAGTAGACCAGAATCGATGGGCGTGTGACCTTGATTTGTGCCCTGTACCACAGCCCATCAGTGTACTTTGCAAAGCACAGTTTTTGAAATAATGTTGGTGGCTTCACATTGCCAAGCTGATTGCAGAGATGGTTGACCTTCTTATTGAGGTCCTTAAGCACATCAGCATTCCTTTCAAGTTGGCAGTAGAACTGACCGACACTGTTTACACATGTGACTGTGACTTGCTCTTCAGTTCCAATTTTGATGCTGTGTGTTGAGTAGTAGTACGTGTCCAGGCGGTAAGATGGTTCGGGCACTGCCCTGCCAGGGGTAAGTTTGGCCATACTGGTGCAGATGCTCTCATTGGGAGTTTCCAGATCGACAATGTTGAGAACTAGTTTCTCTTCATTGTACATGACCGCGTATATGGTGCACTTTAAGATAATAAGGTTGGAGGCAGCAGTGTTCACAAAGTGGAGAAATTTTTCTTCTCCCTTTTCGTTCCACTCGTTTACAACGGACATGACCTCGAGAGGGTTGTACAGGCTGCACCGAAACGCTTGACCGTGCAGCTCAAGAAATTCACGGCTGATCTTCCTCAGGTCGTGGAGAGAGACCGTCTTTGTGTGACCGTAGTCAATAAAAAGAACGGCCACACGAGTTGATTCGTGTTTGCGAATTACAAGTCCTCTGTACCAAAATCCATTGCCAGGGTGTCGAACGACACAAGCTGCTTCTGTAAGAGGCTCGTAAACGCTGCCGGCATAGTGTGCCTGCATGGCGTGCATCAGCTGTATCAGCTTCCCTGAGGTTGCAGCGAGCTTACACCAAAAATTATTTGGGCTCTCAATGTAACTCACAATGACATCGAGGATACTGCCAACGGGAAACATATTTTCCTGGAACGTTCCAATTTGTAACTCTTTGCTTGAGAGATCAACATTATTTTGGGTCTGAAAATAAACCTTGCTCTTTCCGTGAACACCCAAAGCTCCAGCTTCTGAATTTTCAATGGAGATTTGGGATTTCTTTTCCATCTCACTGCAGTCGCCGTGGCCGGAAGAACACAACATCTTGCCAATGTGGCTTTCTCCTTGTGACTCGGGATCTACCAGTGTTACGGCAGAGGTATCACTGCGGTTTTCCATCATGTGTACTTTCAGCAGTTTGTTAGTGATCATTTTAATGAAAAACTTAACGACAGAGCGACTCCAGCTGAGATACTTTGGCCCAAGGTCTGCCAACGAACATTTCACTGCAAGCTGTGGCGTTTTTTTTAACCCACCAGGAAGAGTTCTGATGTGACTCTCATCCACCTCCTCGGTGCCTCTGTAATCCGCCAAGAACACCTTAATTTTTGTTCCTCCAACTTCTGACACAATAGCTCTGTTGAAATCACCATCAGCTGCTTTGTCTGCACAGCTGGCACCTACGGCAGGCGTTTCCATCAAATGTTGACTGGACACGTGAGACACGCAAGCCACATGTGAGATGTTATCCGCCGGAAACGCGTTATTTCTCTCCACCTTTGCTTCGGCCACCATGGTAGGTGACATTATTCCTTCATTAATTGAAAACCGGGGTGGATGATGGATGCCTTTTGCTGTGTTTTCGATTGTGTAGTCACAAAGTGTCTCTTCATTCTCCAACAGAGCGTTCTCTTTGGAAAAATACACTTGGTTGAGGTCTGTATTCTCATCGCCATAAAGCGTCACATAGTAAACACCCTCGGAGATACTGTGGTAATGGAATTTGGCGATGAGAGTGTTGTGCAAGAGTAGGGACTTGAGATAGAGGATCTGTGTGCTTGTGCATCCAACCCCCTTGTCAAAAATTCCATGGAGTGAACATACATAGGTCACGACAGGCATTTTGAAGAACTCTGGAGCCAGTGGTCGTACATTTTCTATTTGAACCAATCGTTTGACGCCATAGTCAACATGCAAGACTTCCACCAGTTGGCTGACTGGGAATACCTGTTGCAGAACGGAGCGGTACCAATTGCCATCGTTTCCTCTTGCGGCACAAGGAAATCCGATCATTTCAGGCTCGACACTACAACTGACCATTCTGCCCCTGCACCGCTGTGTGATTTTTTCTGAGAGCTCCTTCAACTCTTGAGAAAAAACCTTCAGCTGGCAGAAAATACGCTGCGGATTGTTCACTTCTGTGACTACAACAGTCTCCACGGCTCCGGCGGACAGCTTTGGAACCATGTACAGATCCTTCTGCTGTAGTTGCTCGACTTCGCCCATGGAGGTTTGATGAAAGTGTTCGGCTTCCGTTTTGGACTCTGGTGAGAGAACAAAATCCAGGAACATGCTCGGTTCCACTTTCTTTGCTAACCCCATTTCAAACATTTCCCTGATTATGCATGGGATGTCCAGAAGAAGCTTTCTTTGATTTACCAGTACATCTTGCACATGTGCTTTTACCATCTTTCCTCGAAAAGTCTGCAGGAATTCAAGTGCAAATGGGGACCATCCATTTTGTAGAGAGAGCGGCCATACATTGGCAAGCACACAAAGCTCCACTTGAGGTGGTAGGTGGAAGTGCTCTCTCTTACCCCAAGCCAATAACTTTGTGGTAGTGCTACATGTGATCCCTTTGTCAATGAGCAAGACTTGGCGGTTGGATCCATTTCTCGTGACTATGCGGGATCTATACCATGTACCATCGATTTGAACTAAACACAAGTCCCCAGAATTTCCTTCAAACTCCTGAAATAAATTTACAGGGGACTGAATATTTTTGACCAGGGATTGATAATCTCTGGCCTGAGCCAGCCCAAAGTTGCCCCAGAATTCTATGAGCGCACAAAGGGTATTCGAGTCAACTTTGGTAATCAGGACTGTTACGTTAGAGCATTGTGTAGGAAGTCCGGGGATGGATGACATTGCAGCAGTTTCACTCACTCAATCTCTCCGTTTGTCACTTTCAATGGCTGTGAGCAATGGATGATCTGGAAAATAGAAATGAACTTACTGTAAGATATTGCATACGACTTTTCAGTGAGGCAGCATGACATGACAAAAAGCTGATTTTTTTATTCCAAATCTGTTTTCCCCCACGGAATACAAAGACAATGCAACTGACAATCAAATCATGTTTTGCTTTTTTAAGTTTTATGAGGCTATATCACAATAAATAGTGTTTCGCAGTTGCAGCGTGCCAGTAGATGATCCCCCTCCCCCTCCCCCCACAACGGTTCGCTTCAGCCGTTTTGGGCGGCGTCGCTCAGTCTGTCATGGCCTGGTGCTAGCAAAAATACTTTAGCATCCCCTCTGTCATAAAACAAGCACAAACGTGACAAATTAAGTCTGGAAGCGCACTTAGACATTTCAAAAATGGGGGGGGGCAGTAATTTATTCAAAGTTTCGAAAATGATATTTGTTGTATGCAGAATATCTCACCTTTTGTTGGTCTTTTAGCGACGTGATGGATTTTTGTGCAGACAATGGCGTCGGTTGTTTCACCCAATGATCTTCGGACCAATCCCAGCGAAGTGGTAATTCGCTGATTAATGAGCAGCCTGCCAAATGTCGCGGAATATAACCCGTTAAATCTTATTTTAACACAGTTTTTTTGTACTGCACTGCACTGTTGAGGTAAAGTAAGTCCAAATCAACTTTAGCCTACCTAAAACTAGCAAACGTCGATGACTACCGTAGTTTACCCTAGTAGCTTGTAGCTATAAAAGACCCGCCTACTTTTTTTTCCAGTACCGGAAATTACTTTTTCCCTTCCTTAATTTGTTTGGGTTTTTTTTTGTTTGTTTTTGGTTTGGTTGTTCATTCATTCATTCATTCATTCATTCAGTCAAATCGTCACAGATCTTATCTCTATAAATTGCCATAAACAAATTAAATCACAGGTAATTTAGCAATAATTCAAAGTACAGCAGAAGTGTCTGAAGTACTAGTACTGTATGTCTACAAATCATCTCTGTTATTAAAAAAAAAAAAAAAAAGAAAGAAAACTGTGAGCAACGCGCAAGGTTGTTTGAATAAGCGAAATAATAATTCGTCAGTGACGATGGAGAAACGAGTTTTATCCGGTAGAGGGCAGGCAAACCAAAATCAAATACCGGAAGTGCGTGATCAACGAGCGACGGGGCCATCTTGACGCAGTACACACGCTAGTGTTGTTAGCCTGTGCATTTCGATTTTGAGTTTCTGCCAGTAATACAGCAATACTTATTAATCATGGCTATGCAAGCAGCGAAACGCGCGAACGTAAGTGTTTCCTTACTTAATGCTGTTTTCGTTCAGTTGATTATGGCGATAAATTTAACCCGCAGTGTTGTTTGCAAACTACGTATTCCATCGACGCCGTAGCGGCGCCTATGAAGCGGTAGTTTTATTTTACAATACACATCACATCATTCAAAATATTCTTGTTTCCTGTTCACAGAATTATCTTGTAAATAATGCGAGGTTTGGACTGGCTTCTTCGTATTGGTATTATCTAACAATACGTACTGAGCCGATAGCTATCAGTGGTTTAACACCGCGTTATACTGGGATATTTTTGGATCATGTACGTTAACTTAATGGCACTACTGTGACCCAGTGGTTAGTTAGCTTGTTAATATTTGCCCATGACTGGCGACCAGTCTAGGGTACATCACACCCAAAGTCAGCTGGGACACCAATGAGGACCAGCGCAGGAGAAAGCGGATTGGATCTTCTTCCTAATGTTGTTATTTTGTGAATGTCTTGGCAATCTGTGCAGATACGACTTCCTCCAGAGGTCAACAGAATCCTTTACATCAGGAACCTTCCCTATAAGATCACAGCGGAGGAAATGTATGATATCTTTGGAAAATATGGGCCGATACGTCAAATCAGAACGTAAGTGGTTAACATTGGCCTGATTTCCTGAGGTTCAAATTTCAGTAAACACACTTTGTTTCAAGGTACTGCGAGATCCGGCATCCACTAAGCCTTGACAATGCATCATTTTTACTGTATTTTACAATTGTACTGAGGAGAAAAAAATGATATATAATATTCTTTCCAGAGGTAACACACCAGAAACAAGAGGAACAGCCTATGTTGTTTATGAAGACATTTTTGATGCCAAGAATGCTTGCGATCACCTGTCAGGCTTCAACGTCTGCAACCGCTACCTCGTGGTTCTCTATTACAACGCAAACAGGGTATGAGCACGGCTTTTGCATTTTTCATTTTGTAAAGCGGCATAATTTTGCTTTTTGAATTTTTAATTCTGACGTCACTGTTTTTTTTCTGTCTTGTGTGCTTTTACAGGCATTCCAGAAAATGGACACAAAAAAGAAAGAGGAACAGTTGAAGCTCTTAAAAGAGAAATATGGCATCAACACAGATCCCCCAAAGTAGAATTATGAAAACATCTCTTCCTCTTTTTTTGTTCTGTTGTCTTCACAAGCAATGTTTTGTTTTTTTGGGGGGGTGGGTAAGTACTTCTACATTCTTGCAAATGGGCATCTATTTCAAAAACATATTTTCTGTTAATTTGAGGGATTCGTTGTCTTACAATTAAACATGCAAGTGTCAAGGTTGGAGTTGTTGGAATGGAAATAATGTGCGGGCATGGTATTTTGCTACATGTGACTCTGTTTTACCTGTATTTAGATTTTCTTTTTTGCCGCATTACAACCTGAATGTTTCCTCTCTTCTTTTTCAGCAATATTTGACTTTAAATTGGATTTCCTAAAAATAATGTTGCGCTGTTTGTAAAATAAATGTTTTGGATTTTTTTCCACTCTTAATGCTATTGTTTACTTCCCCATGTGTGCATTCTAGTTTCAATGAACTGGAAAGCCCGGCTTTTTTATGAACCACCCACATCGGTGTATCATTTTATGCCAAGTCTAGCGACCATTCATCCGTTTTCCCAATTGATACTAGATGAGAGCGGCGGGTGGAATTATTTTCTGAAATGTCATAGTTGTAAATTATGACACATTTTGTTCAAGCTTTTGAAAAGGTATCAAAAGAATGAAAATATATATTTTAAACGATGTTCTAGAACAAAAGTGAAACATTTTTAAAATCAGCATCCATACATTTGGAGGCACACAAAACAATCTCTGATGAGAATTCTTCACAGCATGTCAATGAGTCTGCCCGTTGTCTGTCGTCGTGTTGAAGCAAGAGAGGCGAAAGAGCCCATCGAGTTCCTTTTATTAGATTAAATCACAACACAGGGTGTAGTGCAGCCATGTCGTCAGGAACACAATACATGCTACAAAAGAATCCTTGTACACACACTTGCCCGTTTGCTTACATTTGGCATCTTGATGAACAGACATGGAGTTAGAAACATTCTCCCACCCCAACAACAAAAAAGTTTGTGAAAAGAAGACTGCTGCTGAGAAATACTGCTGCGCGGGACACGTTTTGCTGATGAAACACTAGGCTGTGTGAAGTTAAAGCGGGCGGTGAAGTGGGCAGGGTGGACTTATTCACTGAGAGGTCATGATGGGGACTCTTACGAGACCCCGCACTTTCACTGACCTTTGCGACACGGGCTACTTTGCATTCAGAAAATGAAAGCGGCATAGGGGTATTAAAAAAGTACAAAAAGGTTTACTTTTGACGGGTAAATTGTTTAACGCGGCTCTACTTGAAGGGCTGACCTTTTCTGACTGTTTCAATGAAACTCACTTGTTAGCACTCTGACTCGGGGGGGAAAAAGTAGGAGTGGAAATGCAGACCTAATTCTCTTCTACTCAGTTATTTGTAGTGATATGCAACAAGCAAGCTCTTGATGCTCATGAAGTTGAAACTTATGCTTGGAACGACTGATGGGCAAAATAAGCAATTAATAGATTATTAAATAGGGAAGAACACAGTGATGCGGGATTGAATGTTGGTTTCGGCCATCTCGTAATGTTAATATTGAAAATGGAATCAATTAACTGATTGATCCTTGATTGAGGAAGTTTTGGGGTGAACTCGCACTTGCCCGTTTGACACCTGCCGTGTCATTCATTTCTCCCTTCAAGTCTCCTCAAATCAATGGCATGCAATTTTCTAATGAAGGTTTGTTTTGATGCTCAAGGTCAGGTTCTTAGCGACATCTACTCCAGCTACCCTACAAGGACGCATGCACGGGGGGGGGGGGGGGGGGGGGGGGGGGGGTCAAACACAAAAGGACATCCCACAATAATGCGGTTGCCCACACTTTGGGGTAAAAAATGCTTTCCTCACCGGTATCAACTTTGATAAGGCTTTCTTGTCTCGGATCCCTGGACGCAAAATGACGAGAATTTTAAGGCAGAACCTAAAGGCATGCAAATGAACTACAGTTACTTTTTTTGTTTGTTTTGTAGTCGTATATTTCTTTTCACGGACAGTACAAGCATGTTTGAGAAGGAAACGCCGAAGAAACCGCCTCTCTGTTTTTATTATCTAGAGCTAATATTTGAAGGATAGAGGCAGATGCATTACCAGAAGGAATTTGGTTTGGTTGACTTCAGTAAACACGCACAGCTAGCATCAGTTGAACAACAAAGAGAGTATAGCGGCAAATCCAGTGCAGCACATCATTGACGCTCCAATACAATTAAACTGGAGAGAATAAAACATTGCACACTTCACATTTTGGCATCTGATCTTGAAATAATTTAAATATATATTTATATATCTTTATTACTTGTGCGTGGTATTAATATACAGTGGCATAATGTGTGTTGCATGTGTGTGTGTCTGTGTGTGTGCGTGTCTGTGTGTGTGTGTGTCATTGCATTGTGTGTTTATTTTTTGTTGAAGCAAATGACATTCTCATGCACACGAGTGTTTCAAACACAAGAAGCAAGATCCATTGAAAGATAGTCCAAGCAATTTTTTTTTCTGTTGTTGTTCAGTGGAAATAGCTGCAAACTGAATGGAACATGAAATTCTTTCTGTGCAGTCCGTGGCGGTGGCGTCGTGTCGGGGTTGCTCCGCTCGCCCTTCACCTTATTTCTGGAGGTCGCACTGCAGGAGTAATACGATGGACGGGTCGCTCTTGGCCGCCTCTTTGAACTCCTCCAGCGAGATCTGGTCGTCGTTGTTCTTATCCATCTTGGAAAAGATCTTATCCACCCGCTGCTCGGGCGTCAGCCCGTCCTCGTTCATTTTCATCATGATCACTGTGCCCACCATCTTGTAGATTGCCTGCAAGGAGGGAGATATAAGAGGAGGCCGACTCCACGTTCATTCTATTTTCGTTTTCAGCGCTGCGCTCTGTGACAAATAATTCAGTTAATGGAGACATGATGGAAACTGTTCTTTTTAAATTGCTCGTCTACAAATAGGCCTACTTGCGTTTCTGCACAGTTGTAGGAAATGTTGAAGTGCGAATACTTTGTTTGTACTTACTTTGTCTTTCAGGTATAAGTAATTCACACGGCGTTCAGACTTTGGTTGATTGAGATCTTGTAAGGCGGGCCAAAAAAAAAAAGGCACCGCAGCGAAACGGAGGGCGCCCAGCCTGGGAGCATGACTGATGATGTCATCAGATTGGGAGAGGTAAGATATTCCCCATTTGTGGAGAATTGTTTGATGTGAAGCTACGAGAATGAGTCGTGAAGAATGTGTTCCAGTCGAAAAAGTGCCATCTTTTGACATTCAAAATACCCCTGATGAAAACTGTGTCTGCCCCTCCATTGCTTAAGTTGCCCAACCTTGGTGAAGGTTGTCCCTGTTAATACCATTTCTTGATGAACAACAGCTGTTACGCCTCCACCCTCTAGGAGGCGGTACAGGCCAATGAAAACTCAGTGTGAACGGTTCACACCTTCCCTTATTTTGCCCTTGCTTGTTTTTGGAGCTCACAGACAAAAAAGCCCCAGGCTGGAAGGAAATGTGTGAATTGGCCAGCAAGATCCAAGATACCCAACGGGCGAATATGATGACTCATACCGACGGGCTCCCTTGTTTAAGCATTCGTGTCTCATTGTCCGTGACTCCGTCGCTGCACACAATGTCTCCATGGCAAAGAACAAAACTGAGCAAGACGAGTTGATTTCAGTATTTTTGTGGAGGCAACCACACTCGGTAATTGAGCGTGTCTTCTCGTGCCACTGCACAATCTAGTTTATTATGCTCCGCTTGTAACCTTGCTGTACGGTGCCCAACCATTCGATTGTGTGGGGTGTAGAGGTCAATGAGAAAAAAAAAAAAGATTTGTGTATTTGTGTGCGTGTTATTGATATAGATTTTTGTGTTAGTGCACACTGCACCCTAAGCATCCGATCAGGTTCATTTTCACACAAAAAAAAAGAATACCTTTAACCTACAGTGGCGCATGATCTACATCACTGGAAATTGTTAGCGGTCTGCATTTGCAGCTAGCGATCAGAGCTGTGACCATATATTGTCTTTTTTTATTATTATTATGATTATTCTCATTCCAAGTTTGTTTCATGCACAATTCACCGATGACACAGGCAAAGAATTGGAGTCGGGAGGGCATTTTGAAATGGGACATGTGTGACGGGCTCACAACTGTGATGGTTTCTGCACTTAACGTGCTGCAAAAGTGCGAAGGAGACTTCCTACCTCGATGATTTCCAGCATCTCCACCCGTGTTATCTTGCCATCTCCGTCCAGGTCATACATGTTGAAGGCCCAGTTCAGCTTCTGCTCAAAACTGCCCCGCGATGTAATGGACAACGCGCAGATGAACTCTCTGAAGTCGATGGTGCCATCGCCGTTCTTGTCGAAGGTCCGGAAGGCGTGCTGGGCAAACTTGGACGCATCACCGTAAGGGAAAAACTAGAAGGCAAAAAGAGGTGGAGGTGTGTATTACTGTTACGATCGAAGAGGCCATGCAGAAAGCTAATGTGGTTAAAGAAGGGACCGTCTGGATGAGGCAAAGACTTGCAATTATAAACGAGACGGATAAATTATTGTTGGTGTGGATAAATAAATGTCGGGCTTACAAGTCAAATGCCAGAGTTTATGCGGACACAGCCGCCTTGATGAGAGCTAACATCAGTGGATAGTACGAGCCTGGCGCGGGCCGCTCTGGAGAACACATACGCGCGCTGTTGTTAAGCAGAACATTAAAGCCTCTATAATCAGGCTGCAAGCTGGCACTGGTGCTCATCCAAACACTCTGATTGGCAGAGGGAGGCAAAGGAGGCGACACTTGACGAGTCGAGCTTCAGTGAAAGCCATTTCTCACAGACCGGATGCAACGTCGAAGAACGGATGCATGATTCAATCCACGATGGAGCGCACACTCTGGTAAACCGCACAAAGAAGCTCATCAGGAAGTGAGAAAAGGATTTAGCAAGTTTGGGTTGAAAATAACCCCCTCAGCAGCCCCCGCCCCGATCCACATTTGTGTTTGCTTGCCGCTCCTCAGATAACGGCTAAGCTGGACAGACATCTTGCAGCTTAAAAGCTTCCAGTGATGAGCTCGCAAGGGTCAGGATTTCAAAGGGGGTGATTTAGTTATTCTATGCGCATTCTGTTGCAGTTTGGGGAGTTGCAGATTGCATGTAACTGGATTATATTCGACAGCGGTTATCTGGGAACTAAAAAGGATCGAATGGAGCCAGATTGTCAAATAAATAAATAGATTAAAAAAAAAAATCCCTCACAAATGAAAGCTATCTCCAATTTGAATGGGTGAAAATTTCCTCCCTTCACTGTGCTCGTCTTGCAGAGATGAATGCATTGTCTTTGATCTTCCCCGCTTGCTTGAATGTGGTCATTAAATTAAATTAAGGAAGCTTTTGAAATCCGTTATTAAAAGTGGAAAGGAGCACGTGACGACCTTGGTCTTGAACCCGCTTTACATGGAAGATGATTGATTTGGAGTTGGTGCTTCAGAAACAAAATTGAATTTCAGGCGCGGCAGCAAGGTTATCCCCATCCTCTTCACAAATAGTTGGGCAAATGTACTGATGAAACGCCCTCCGTGAGATGACTAGAGAACGGGGTGAATATCCAGAGTCCCTTTCAAGTAACGGCTGCTGTCCAGCTGCCGGACGACACTATCGGAACTACTACCTGCTATCCTGTTACAAAGCCAAAAGGTAAGCACAAAAGTTAAACGTCAGAAGTATGTACTTAGTCTTTAGTGCTCTGCAAAATAAACCACAGTCCAACTCTCGGTTGTTTCCTCTGCTCCTTGTCAGTCTTGTGTGTGGCCAGAGGGCTGCGTTAAAAAAAAACCTTTGTCTCATGCCTCCCATTACTAAGATTGTCAGGTGCAGTGAAGCCCGTTTGGAGTAGCCAGCAGCACCGCAGGCCGACCGTGCTCACGGTTGAGATCGCTTTCTTTTCGCACAGAAGCGCGGGAGGGACAGAGCACGGGAATACAGAATATGCATCATCCACGGCGGGGGTATTTACAATTTGTGATTGTGTGTGTTCGAGTGAGTCTGCGTGAGAGGGACGGAGCCTGCGTTCCCTCTTACGTAAACCCTCGGTGACATGCAAGGCTGAGGCTAAAACTCAGTCGGCACACTGCTATTGTTGCCACTGCTTCCAAGGCTCCGGGATCCGTACACCAACGTCCACACAAACCGACACTCGTGCAAACGCACACTTCCACCCCAGTGCGCTCGGATTCTGCAGACACGCTCAACATTTCACATTTGTCTGTATGATCACATTTCCATTTTTTGGCTGGAGGGATGCGTTTATCAAGATAACAACCAGACAAAGGTGCGCAGTATTCACACCGTCGCCGTTTCCTGCCTCCTGAATGTGCTGACTGTGTTCTATAAACGGGCGGCCAACAAGCAGAGTGTGACTCACGGCTCGGCTGCCAGGTTTGGCAGGTGAACCCGGGGTTTACTCTCCGTTTGTTGTGACGCAGTCTGCTCGGCAGCATAAGCGACCGCGAGGGAAGCGAGACCGCCTTTTTCAACGCCCATCATCAGCCTGCAACCTTCTCACGCATATTCCGGCACAAAAGGCAATGCCAGAGAGGAGAGGAAGCGAGAGAGGGCCGACTGAGAATTCATGCGTAAGCGTGTGATGTGATGCAACAGTGACACGCAACTTCGTATCCTGCTTTTGCTGGATGTCCATAATGTGGCTGCATTATTTACACAGCGCCGCCATGCCTTTCGACTTCCTCCGTGGTTGTCGGTACGACATGCATAAATCCATAATAGTGTCCATAGTATAGTTTGAGGTTGACCTAAGCTACCGTATGTGAGGTTAATTGGAGAACTTGAGTCTTCTGTTCGACATCCAAAAAGGAGCTGCACACCAGCTCGGGCCGTAGAGGTGACAAAGGTCGCGAGCCACACAAACGCCTCCACCATGATGTGGCATACGAGTGAGTGAGGAGAGAAAATATGGAGGAAAATATCAATGAAAAGTACATTCGGGCAACCTGAGGTTCTCGGTTGGGGATGTCATGGAAACAAAATGCGTGCAGCGCTTTTTCTTCATGGGTTTTAAACGAGCCTTTAACCTCAACAATCCACCACAGAAGCATGAATTTGCAAATTATATTTTGGATTTTACGTTACTGCCATTGGGAAGAGATCTTTCAATATAACTTGGGAACTTACTTCTCACATTCAAATCTCACAGTTACAACGCGTGCTGATTTGGGGGAATCAAAGTCCCAAATCTTGGACGCTAAAAGTCCATGAGTGTGAATGAGTCACTCTCGTAGTGATTCACTTGTCTTGAATTCTGCGCAGGCGGAGTTTGCTCATTTCCCACTCGGTGATGTCTGAGTGAATTTGAATGTGTATGCTTGTCGCTAGATATCCCCCGCGATCGACTGCCGGCCAGTCCACGATGTTGCCTTTCACCATCGTACCACAGTAGGTGGTAATAAGCTCTCCAGCTCCAGGAAAAAGCGAGACAAAAAAAAATGCATCACCGGATGAGTGTGAATTATCATCTGTGTCCACAAAAAAATGCATCTCCGGATGAGTGTGAATTATCATCTGTGTCTCAATGAGCGAATAAATGGCAGTCAATGTATGAATAAATGTGTGATTTTCCAAATACAGTATTCTGCAACCAGTTTGTCACCGTGATGGCTTTCATGCTCTGGTAATTTTTCCATGTTTCCTCACTGACACAGGCGATGGGCCAGATGATGTCAACATCTGGTTGTCTTGCCAGCTACCTTTGCGTCATCGCTTTTGTCGATTACTCACACACACACACACACACACACACACACAATCACGGCACGCACGCACAGACACACGGGCCTGCTGACCCAAGAATAACTTCTGACGTGTGGATGGATTCCACTGTGTTGATGGGTGTGGAAAGTTTGGACGCATTGTCACGGTTGATGTGTTTGGGACCAACAGGTGGCTCTGTCGGGCTCCTCCTACAGCGGCACACCTGTTGGTCATCATGTCATCAATAGGTTCTCTGTTAAAAGGACCTCCACTCCAACAGCTCCGGTTCGGGTCATTGTTGCTGATTCTGTTCCTCTTCCTGTTAGTGTTTTGCTTCTGCCATGGGTTTTTTTCTTTGTTACTTTGGATTCTTGCTGTTTTCAGGTCTTGGTTCTGGATTTAGTTTTCTCAGGGTTTTGTTAGTACAATTTGTCAAGCCTACCCTGCTCCTCCCTTCTGCCTGCTTTTTGGGGTCCTCCTCGTCCACCGCTCGTGACACGCGTGCTTTTGACACCCAGATGAAAAAATACATTTTCGGCACCTTTGGAGCCTCATTGAAAAGCAAAACGTTCAATCAAAATTGGGAATTTTTGTCCAATTACTTCTGTTTCCCATGCATGATTTTACGTCAGTATTACAGTGATGAGACAAGAGTCGGAGACACTGACATTTAAATTCAAGCTGGCCAAACAACTGCAAACAAAAGCACCCACAGCAGTAAAATGCAATGGTGCAAGAGCCAAAGTGATTTAATGCACCGACCAGGGAAGCATCAGCAGCTCCTATTCCAAATGACTTCCAACGGAGCTGATGTGTCTGGGATGTGAAATTTCACACACTGACATGGGAGCGCCTCAGTGAATGAATTGCCACCACAAGCCGCCCATCCATTTTGGCTGCGCCGGTGTCACCGACAGCACTGCGTAAGTCCTTCAAAGTTTTTCATTCTGTGCCATCGACCGGCGTGTTTTCACATCATTTCAGGTGCAAATCATTTTGCGGCATGCAGTCATTCAACCGTTTGCAAGACCACTCCTCCTGCCCGTTCACACTCCTCACGTTCAAACCGGTTACACGGATTTCAAATGCGCGCACGTTTTTGAACTGCATTATGTTAATAGTTTAAACCCCTAATGATGACCCCAAACCACTTAAATATCACTTCAAACATTGAACATCGAAACTCTGTTGATTTGCTGACTGAGCTGCATAATTTAAAAGTTCTGTCTGTCATATATGGAACTGATGAAACTCAAATGCTGGATGTCATGGAACATATGAAAAAAACAAAAAAAGAGCAATTTGCCCTTCTGCGCAGACCGAACGGTGTTGAGAGAAAAAAAAGCAAAGAAATGAGCACAGTGGGGCAAGATGGGAGTACACAGGTGTGACCCCGCCAAATCTCACACATGCATGCACAGAGAGGAGACGGGCGCAGACGTACACTCACGCCATAACGCGACGGATCTCTCTCATTGCTGTGTCGCATGACTCCGCCAGAGCCAATGACCAATAAATAATGCACACATACATGCGCACTTTTCCTGTCTTTGCCCCTTGGTTTCCTGTTTTCGAGCGACACTGCTCCAACCAAATACTCCCCCCCCCCCCCACACACACACACACACACATGCAGTCACGTCACTCTTCACAGGAACAATGAGTCCTGTTTATGTGAGGTCAATGCAGACCGTTTTTCCACTTATCGACTTGCTGGATTTAAAATAAAGTCCTATCGAGGATTCACTGTTGCCTAGAAACACAATAGGGTACGTCAATCATGGGATTTTCCCTCTGACGTACAGGACCGCTCAAGTCCGCATCGGAGTTTTCGTGGGGATGTCGCCGATCGTTCCTTCTATTTAGTATCGATTTTGGGTTGCTCTTTTTTTTAATCATTTGAGCAGTTTTAATGAGATCAATGGGGCAAAGTGGAAATTTCAGGTGGTGTCTGATGCTTTGCTGGGACTTTTTCAATTGAAAGCTTGAAGGCCTTGCAGCAAAAGTTGCCTCTTTCTTTTCTGGTTGGGAGCTGATGCGTGAGCTCTATTGGCATTTAAAGGAAGCGCACTTGTGACCTCAGTGCCCGTGCAGGAGGGTGTTATGTAACTGCAGCACCCTCTGGCATTTCCTGGCACCGGTTATAAAAGATTAATGCTTATTCTTGCACTCCACACAATGCAGGCTGACATCTGAACTCTGAAGAATTGTACATCATGCGATTCAACGCAAACGTCATCTCACTCTGCATTTACACACCACTCGTTTTCCCGTGCAATATGACGCTGCGCTTGAATTCAATTTTGAAAATTGTAACTTTTCATTTCTTACTCCATACAAATGAGTTTCCTCAGAAAAGCCCCCCGCCAGTGAACAAATAGTCTTCATTTTTTTCTCGAAGGAACCCTCCCACTTGTGAGGGCTGAAATTTGTAGAGCTGTTATTTTGTCATGTTGCCAGTTTAATTGTGAAACGGTCGCTGTTTACAAGAGTAAAGGAAATTAATAAGTCATTGAATAAATTCACACCCGCTGCTTAATGAGATACAGTAGGCTCCATATTAACGTGAGCGGAAGCCCATCTGATCTCTGCCTCATCACTGGTTGGTTTTCTGCCCGGATACAGCAGCGGCGAATGGGACCAGGCAAGAAGCGCTTATCTAATATCCCCAATTTATAATTAACAGAATGATCATTCTTCCCGTCTTGTGTCCTTCGTGCTGAGCGGGGTGGTGGCGAAATGAGCGTAAGGATAAATGTCGTGCATTTTTGACGGGGGATGTCCCAAACCGATCATGTGATAGGGAATCGGGGTCAATGACGTGATTTTCAGCTGATCACATGATGACAGTGGAAAGCTGGATGACACCAAACATTCAATATGACCTTGATTTGTGTGAGTCACCTTGACGTAGAGTTGCTGGAATTCCTCGAGGTTAAGACGGCCGGTGGGGCAGTCCTTCAGGAAACCCTTGTACCACTGCTTCAGCTCATGTTCATTGAATTCTGTGTTCTTCACCAGATCTTCCATCACCTCGGGCGTCAGCTTGCTGTTCTGTTTCCCCATTTTGCCTGCGCGCACACGCACACACAGACACAGACATCACCTCTGATCACCAAAATAGACGAGTGACTCATCCGTCGTGAAAACAGATTTCTGGAGAACTCTGATCGTGTAACCAAAGTTAAAAAAAAAAAACTTTTTGTGTGTTCTCAGAGGAGGCAGAAACGTGTTTGAATATAGTCCCCGGCTGAGTTTGTGTTTATTAATAGTGAGGTCAGCGGTGAGACATCCAGCTTTTCTCGCTTTCTTTGATCATTTTATTTGATAGTTTGTTTCATTTTTAGAAGACGCCACTCAGAAATCCGTTCAGTCAGAAGTGTAATTTTAACTCGGATTTTCTGTCCGATCCTTGACAGCTTGGTTTCCAAGTTAGTTCGGATAATTTGACAAAATAAGAAATACAACAAATGATGGCAAGACATGATCTGAAGACACTAATATGAAGAAATATGTTTTTTCAGCAGCAGTATCTGAATCATCAACGTCACGCCTCAGATGGGCAGTGATGGACCCAATTGCAGTTGCATAAAATTGCCGACCAGAAATAGCTTCTTGAATATTGTCAATGTTGTAATGTTGCTTTCATTTTGTGCACAAAGCTGAACGATTTCACATGAATTTCACAAATAGTCTGTATGGATTTGTGTTCTTTTGTGTCTCGTTGCGACTGAATCCACAGTGCCTCTGTTGGCTGTGCGATCGATTGTGCCACAGTAGTTGCAAGACTATCAACAATCAATTCCATGCAAGCGATATAATGTCATTCTAAATTGATCGATGAAAGAGGGAGCCACGGGCGCGCTCAACGTCGGGGCACCAACGTAGCCTCGCGCTGACCTTTTATGACCCGAGAAAAGCAGCTTATTTGGAAATTGCAATGGAGGGTTCCTGTCGCACGAAACGCTATCGGTTGAAAGTTTTATTTTCCCGTGAGGCCTCTGGGTTGTGGCTGCGGGCGTACAACAAATGATTGACACCTCGTAAGCCACGACTTCTGTCTCTGATTGATTGTTTTTTCTCCAGTTAGAGACTGCAGATTTTTTTTCCACAGATCATATTCATCTTGTACAACCGTCAAGTCATATTGATGGTTTTGATTTCGCAACAGATGATTCCAAACAAGGTCCTGAGAGGTTCTACTGTTTACTGTGCGGGGTGTCAGTCATCTCGGTTCATTGTTTCGATGCCTCTACACATGATTCCTCTTCTTGTCGGTGTTCATATTAAAACAACCCTCGGCAAGATGTGACGATCTGCGCGAGCAAACACACATTTTTTTCAGGGCCCCGCGCAAACGCATACGCACACTTACACGCGCACACTGACTTTCCTCTTCATTCACAAAGCAGGCGTCAGAGCTGAATCACGGCTGCTGTTTGCCATTTAACTGGATGCGTTCCTAATTGGTTTGTACGTCGTGTGGAAAACAAAAAGCAGACAATTGAAATGCCTCCTAACGAGTGATGAGCTGCTCACTGTTAGTGCATTCGGATTATGGAGGTATTCTAGCAATGTCTTGAATGCACAATAAGGATTAAGGTTGCAAATGAGGAACAATTCTAGTGAATTTCCAGACACTTTTCTTCTTTCATTTCGATGATGAATTTTGGAAGACATGTTCTTTTCTATCGTGGCAGTTATTAAAAATCAAAAACTAGTTTATGACCAAGACTACAAGACTAATCATCCCATACTGGAGTTGATTCATGTGGTGTCTATTTTAACTTGTCAGAGTTACAAAAAATGATTCCTGGGTGGCTTATTCGGTCATTTATGACGGTCTATAATATTCACAATTCTCTATTTTAGTTAGAAATGCAGAAGAGCCGACAACAATGACTCAGGACTAAATAACTTTTTGTCTTCCTAACCCTTGACACTAGACAAAAAGACAATGATGTACTGTCGTCAGCATGTATGCGGATATGAAGACATTAGGTTGATCTAACGTCCCTCGTGAACAACATGCAGCAGACCGGCCCCACAGTCGGGCGGTGGGATGGCTATTACATAACACCGTCTCCCTTACCATCATTCGCTTACAGGGGATGACCTTGAGAAGGAGCCCTGGCAGGAGAGGAAACTCAGCTTGGACAATGTGGGCTGACGGTGCATTTGAAACATATGTTTCATGCACTTGTGCGTGGGCGTGAGTGCTGTGCGGATCTTTATGTCTTGTCAGCATGCAGGCTGAGCAAGAGTGCCATCATTATGAAAGAAGATGAGGAGGTGTGGTCAACCTGCACTGGTTGGCAAAAAAAGTGGCAGATGGAGTGATGTAGGTTATGGAAAACAATTGGTCTCCATCTTCCTCCCTGTGTCGCACGCGCACGAACGCAACCACACAGAGTTGCAACTTGCAGATTACGGCTATCATGACAGGAAACGATTTCTAATCATTTAGAGCGGTAGTCAAGCATTCTCGTCACTTTTGTTGTTGAATCACAACACCGCGGGACGTGTGGGAAGAGATCCCCTCGCAATTTTTGTGAGCAAAACTCCTGCATTAACTATACATGGTCTGGGAACGCGTTCTGTCATTTTAATGTCAATGTGGGGCAATCATCCGACCGTTAATCCAATGGAAGTAGAGGGGATGACGCACTCGGTCGCATCATGCAGGTAAACATTAAATAATAGCATGTAAATAACTAATTGTGCAAATAAAGAATGAATGACATCCTACCTGAAAAGTCGATGAGGGAAGTCCGAGCTAACGTCTGGAGAGGTTCAAAACTGTGAGGGCGATTAAAAAAAAAAAAAAAAAAAAAAGAAGAAGAAGCGTCCTTAGTTGAGCCAAACGCTTGTCTTTTCTTGGTTTCTGTCGTTCTTTTTCTCCTTCTTTTCTTTTTTGTGTGTATGTGTGTGTATTGTATTGTACTCGAGCCTAATCGGGAGCGGTGCAGGTGCGTAGGATGATGCTGCTAAACGCACACTGCCGTGATGCACTGAGCAAGAGACACGCAGAGGGAGAGAGGGAGAGATGCGCTTATCTCCCCGATGCGTGTGCGTGTGTGTGTGTACGTCGTTAATGTTTCCTGAGGCTGTGCCTGACATGAAATGGCACGAAGCAGCCTTTTCGCCAACAAATCTTCGTAAATAATTGCCAATTGTATACCAGACATCGACTATGACACCAGCTTCCTTTAAAACTGCTTCCACACTGACATCGCGTTCCCTCAGCACCAGTTTGGCGCCACTCAATTGGTTCTCGACCGAGAAGGGATTTCAAGCTAGCTGCTAACTCGTCGTAAAATAGCCTTCTTGTTGTGGGCTTCTGATAAAATTGGCAGGCTGGTTTCAGGGTGAGTTACGATTAATAGATATATATTATTATGTATATTTTTGGGATACTGTAAATGTCAATGAATAAAGAAGTACAGTATTACTATTTTGAATGGAACAATGTGCATACACTAGTATCTTGGGCTCTCTAGCGATACATTTTTTTTAAATACAATAGAAGCATTCTCTTATGAGCTAATTTTCATATCATTTCGCCGAACTCTATGTAGCACGTGAGAAATGAGTGAATGAGCTAAACAGAAACACAATTTTGAACAAATATTGAACATAAGGTCAACATTTTCCAAAATACATGCGGTTGAAAGGGTTGGAAAATGAAGTTCAGAGGTATATTTCCAACATTGTCATTAAGATAAATGAATGTTAGAAATTCTCCCTCTTTAATGTGCCGGTACTTTCACATCATGCAATCAAAATAAAATCAAGCTGTTCAGATTGTATGTTATAATTATTATAAGTATATCTACAATAAGAGATTACAATCAAATTAATAACACACATAACCATTAGATTTAATCATTGTGTTGATTTTGACCAAAACCAGCACTATCCAAAAATGATATATGCTATTTGAAATGTAGGACAGTTGACAGCTGTGATGCTGAAAAGAAAAATCTGTTGGTTGCTAACACATTTTACTCTAAGGATTGTTTTAATGTAAGACTTAAACTATTTGTTCTTTCAACAGTATTGTTGCTGCTGACCATCAGTGGATGACAGATTGTTGTCTCTTGACTTTGTCTTGGGTATGCAGCACATATTCTGTATTATAATTTTTCAAACATCTTTCCTTTACAGACAAAATGGATGCCATCATGCATGGAAGCATGAGCCTTGAAACAGAGACTAAATGTTTCCACCTCTCCCCCAAAAGAGCAAAAAGAGACGATACAGTGACAAACAGCAATTCAAGCACGTGTGACCTCCCAGATTTTTTGACATTACAAACTCTTGGAGCCCCACCTTTGGCCTCAGCCCCGGATTCAGACCTTATATGCTTCAAACTAAATGGACATATTCTGGACAAAAAACCCTGTGAACAAATTCAAGACACTCCAGTATCTGTCGGGCCTCAGGCTGAAGGCACAATCTCAAACACACCTGAAATCTGTGTCACCGGTGAAGAGAGTTCCTTTCTTCATCTGAAAAATTATGATCAGCTAGACAAGCTCAGCCCAAGCCCATTATCGGGGTCATGCACTTTGAAAGACCCCACTGCTGACATGTCCACGCATCCCCAGCATCAACTCCTGGATAAATCACTTGAAGACAAACCTCCTACTGATTGTAGCTTACCTTGTGAAAATGAATCGTCCAATGATGGGGAAGTCAGACATCAGTCTGATTTCTCTTGCCACTCCAATGGACATGACACTGTTCCAAGGACATGTAGCCAATCTGTTGCATTTGATGAGAGTAATCAAAAGGAGGAGGATTTCACCAATACTATCTTCCAACAGGGGGTGGGACGAGATGAGGGAGAGAAATCTCCCAGTCTTATTAAGGAGTTTCAATTATTTGTCCCTCCACCTGATAAGGGTATTCCCGTAATGTTGGCACAGGATAAAAGCAAAGTGGACATGTGTGATAGTCATGCTGTGTGCCACAGGGAAACAAATGAGCGAGCTAACGATAATGGAACAAGCAACACCGTCTCTCCGGTTGAATGTACTGAGGTATTACTTATCTCTTACCACGCTCCACAAGCCATGTACATTTCAGCTGAAACAGAAAGCACTGATAACTTCGGACGGGCAAATGGAGAGCACGATGAGATGGCGGCCGGAACACAGAGGGAAAGAGTTCATCACACGCCAGAGAATCACATGTCTACGGGAATCAGCATAGAGGCTGCTGAAGGAGATAATGATGCAGACCTTCGCAGAGTAATGGAGCCTGCACTCTGGAGCAAAACTGTCAGGGCGGCTGAAGAGAATAGCTTTAACTCTGAGAGCGTCGCAGGTGAAGAATTACCTCCATCAGTAATAGACTGTGAGCTGGAAATATCTCTTCATCCCGCATCTGATGCCAAACCATCGCAGCCGACTTCGAATGGGTCCGTTCGATCTCCTAACCAGAGCAGAGCACAACAACATGAAGACAAAAAAGAAAAATTGAGTGAGTCATTTTCTGTCCCCTCCTTTGGAATGCACAACACATCTGGCTACGAAGGCAGCTGTCACCTGACATCAAGTCCCAGCATTAGTCCACAAAGGACCGCAAAACCTCCTGCAGCTGGGGATGGAAGACAGCAAAGCGGTGTTATTGCGGGCCATCATTTGGAAGAGCGGTCCAGCTGTTTGCCTGTCAGCCGCGACGACCTGAAGGCCCCACATGTTCAACATTCACTGCCTGGAGCCGGCACACGGGACGAGCCAAAGGAAATCAAAGTAATGACAGGTGAATTAAAATCAGATGAGCTGGCTCTGCAACAACATAGCCCAAGCAATGTGGACATAAGTGAGCAAACACTCGAGGGGGGCTTCACAGAGGGTAGCCAATTGACACCAGGAAAGGCAGCGCTACCTGACATCACACAATGCCAACAAACAGTGGAGATGCTGGAGCGCAAAGTTGAGCTTTTGACTTCATTCAGCGATACCATTAAATCGGGGCCTTGCGAATTAAGCCACAGACTCCTCTCACAAAACACAGATCGCGTCATGGCTCAAAAGTGGCAGGACAGATTCTCCGCTTTTGCGATGTGCACCCATGTGCCAGCGGGCTTTGACAACTTCCACAAGATCCTACTGTCACCAGATGATGATGATGATGATGATGATGCTGTCCAAGGGAACGGCTGTCCTCACGCCAGCTTGTCCGTGCAGCTCATGAAATCCCCACAAATGGAGCGCCCCATGCTTGAAGCGGAGGGTAAGCATGCGGAGAGGCCAAAAGGGATGGAGGAGGACCAAGGCCAAGCGGCAGGCGGTCGCGTTGAGTGTCACGTTGAGGACTTCGCCAATGGAGATTTCAACACGGATAGCAACTGTACTCAAGGTTTATCAGGGGAGGACATGATTGCTTCAGAGTTTTCCACTGATGCCGGGAACAAGAGGCCGCCGCCCCACGACCCGATCCACTGCCTGGAGTTCAAGATGAAAAATGAATTTGACTTGGTCTTAAAGGAACTCAACATGTATTTTGATATCTGTAAAAGTGAAATTGCATGTGACAACGGGACGTCTCCTGAGCAGTGTGGGGACATTCTGTGTAGTGAAGTCTCCAAGCGCAAATGTCACAAATGTCACAATTGTTCAGAACTGGCTCTCCGCAGAGATTCAACTTTAGGTAACTACATCTCATTTCAATTGAGCTTTTCAGTCTCCGTGGCTCGAGACTATTAAGAACATTCCCTTTGAGGCAGTTGCTCAAAGACCATTGTTGATATAAGAACTGTTTTTAGTGTTCCAATTAACCGGCCACCTCATTTCTCATTCAAAGTTATTTTGTCTGTTGGCCGAAGTCACAAATGTCATCAACCTCACTTCACATAAAAAGTAAAATTAAATTAAAAAAATGCAAGTTGGAAGGATCTGTCTCAATTGGGACCCTAGTTTTAGTTCTTTGGATGAAATTTGAAGTTAAAATGTTCACCTTTATTCGATGCCATGGTATACTGTATACACAAACAGTAACTTTGGATCGTCCTTATTACATTGTGACAACTTTCTGACTATCTTAAACCGTCACCATTACAAAAGATACTTTGAGACCATTTTGTAAAATTGTGTTTTCATGGACTGTATTTTTTTTGTTGTTTAGATCCGGATGAAGGCCGCAGCATCGAAATATGTGTTCGAGATCCAGAGGCTTGTTGTATAACCCGCCGTGGAGGTGAACAGGAAGTGCCCATTGCATACCACGTGTCCAAAGAAGCATCAAGTCAAGCCACAGAGAACCACAAAGGTTAATTTTCTTTTTTTTTTTTTTGTCTTGTAGAGAAACACAAAAATTGATTTTCATTACTTTTTTTTTTTTTTTTAAATCCTGCTCCAAAAAATCCAAAATGAACTCAGTCTCACTTGTTTCAAAGATAATCTTTTTAAAAGGTTTATTCAGGGTGCGAAAAAAATCATTTCGGAACCCCTTGTCAGCATTCAGAGGTTCATTCCCCTTCCTCAATTACCTGCAGGGAAACGATAACGCCGGTGTGAATGGAGGCGCATTGTATGAGGAGGAAGAGATAACAAATAAAATAGGATTAGCCACTCATCCCTGGCTGTGTCTCACTTTCAATACGTGGCTTCCAGAGACTCATCAGACAGAACTGAAAAGGACAGCGTGGACCCCGTCCTTCATGGGTCTGCCTCTCACGCAGCCACAAAGCCACGGTGAGTCAGTGATCGCAATCTTTCGTTCAAAGGTGCTGATAATTGTTCCCATCACAATGATGGCTTTCCCCTTTGAAAGTTGGCTCAGTTCACTCACCGCTTCGGCAAAACAATTTGGGAAAATGGAATAAGTGCACGTGTTCAATTCCTGTACGGTGTACTGCAAGGGTCACGGAGAAGCTGGAATATATACGGTACAAAGCTTTGACAACAAATGACCGCATGTTGTCACACCGTACAACATTATTGCGGCAACATTGCCGTCTCACTGCTTCCGATTCGAGTCCGCTTACGTCACGTAAATTGAACGTACATTCGGCAGGAGAGGCTTGAAGAACGTGAAAGTATCATCAAGCACACTTACAGTACACACCATCCAACAAATGCAAACCTTGAAGAGCCGAGTCGTCCCTCTACATTGTGCTTTTTTTGCGCAGCACGATCATGGGAGGCCAAGAGACTGGAGCCCCTGAGGACGTGCACCCGGCCAATCCGACTCGGACTGTCCAAGAGAGCCAAGCCCAAATCCCTGCACCGTTTCCACCCGTGCAAATGAACCCCAAAAATGTTCACAGGGAGCATTTCTCAGTCGCAGTCCGTTCCATGTTGTGTCGTTGTGTGAGTGTTGCGGTAAGTTTGTTTTTTCACACAATTGCATTTACACTGATCGAAGATTATGATCAACAATCCCGGCTCCTACTGCCTGTTTTTAATATCGTTGCAGATATTTATTCTTCTTTAGTAGTCCTGTTGAACCACGGTTGTAGTTTCAAAACTCTCTTGTTGACCTCCTGAATATTCATGTTATTCATTAAATAAGTCCATATTTAAATGAAACATTTCATTTGTAGTTTATGAAATCCAAACAATGCAACAACTGCATTTGGCTATGATGAATTTTTTCCCGTAGGTGTTTTTAGACAATCTGCAATTTGCTGCACTTGTGCGTGGGCGTACACAGTCAAGCTAAGTGCGATATTCTCTGTCCTCATGTGGGTTTTTTTTTTTTTTTTTTTTTGGGTTTTGTTTTTCCATTATAAGAGTCCTGCAATATAGCCTTGAGGAATTCTTTAGCTGGAGTTGAGTTTTGGTCTCAGGGAATTAGATATTTGCATAAATGGCATCTTAGAGGAGCACCAGCCAGTTGTCACAACAGGAAAACAACTACAGTATGAAGCTAATTCAAAGCTTTCTGTCTCATTCGTTTTTTTTTTAAACGAAATTACACTTCCTAGTTTGAACAGCATAATGACAATGTTCTTTGTGTACCTGGAAACAGATGCGGAATATAAAACTCACTTTGTGTCCCTCGGTGCTTTTTCAATTTGTTCATTTAGAAATTGGATTAGTAGTCGTCTTTTTACATCAAGTCACTTTGTGTGCGATTTCTTTTCTCAATGAGATTGGATAAAGCTGTTGATGATTTGAGGGTTTTTCTCCTGCATTCTCCTGTCCGTTTTACATCATGAAAGAAGTAAGTGTAGCCTTTGGGTGTGTGTTTTTGTTGAATTGATTAATGGCAGTCAGGAGCATGAACAACGGCTCATTCGGTCTGTTTTTTTTAACCAATTTCAGTCCATTGCGGTTCAATTATAGTTTTCTGTTGACAACTCATATTAAAAAAATAATAATTTATGCAGATATGAGTTCTACCGACTTATTCCTGCAATATATCACCGTATGTCATGTTATCATCTAACTCTGGTTTCACATTTGTCTGCATGTAATCCATTTCACAAGATTGATAGCTTGCTATCATGAATATCTTTGCGTATCTGTGCTTGGCCTCCATATGGGAAGTGCACTTGGAAGCAGATTGGGAATTTGGACCGGGCCCAAAACGCTGCGGTAAGCAGAAACAAAACAAAAAAGACTCTACGATCGAACGCGTAATACATCGGAGCTGTTTGTCCATATAGCTAGAATATCTGATCATTTTAGTTTGCTACAAACCCAAACATGATATTGTTGCATGCATATCTTAACCCTTACACCCTAATAATACCAAGAAAAGTCATCTGTATCCTCTCACCTTACCACGGCATTACCTGCACAATCTAAATGAGAGGAAATTAACATTGTGCCCTGCGATTGGCCGGCGACCAGTTCAGTGCGTATCCCGCCTCTCGCCCAAAGACAGATGGACGGATTTTTAGCCTACTCAGGTTTCTTCTATTTCAGATGAAAATTAATGAGCAAAAAAATGTCTGTGGAGCAAGAAATGGATTTGCTCGCTCCTTTGAAGAGAAAACATGTCAGCTATGCGTGTTTCTGCTCGGTGCTCCTTTTGTTGTCGCGGCGTGTTTACATTGCCGGCAGTTCTCCGCACATCCAGTGTGTACAGAGTATCAAAAGTTCCCGCATCAAGCTGTCATACTGCGGCATCTTTGCACAGCAAACCAAGCGGGGCTGAAGCACGCATCACAGCACTGTACCATATGTGCACCCAACCAGTCATGTATTTGTTGCCCCCTGTGCAGATCAATAGTAATCACAGGACCGCAGACGCAGTGATATGACCCACTTGGAGACTAAAAATACAACCCGGAAAATCCGTGGCTGTTGCCGGGTGGAGCATGAACTCAAATTAACATAGAAATAGGACACTGCATGTGAGCGCTTTGATACGCAGAGCATTGATTGGAAGCCTCGGACATAAAAGAGCACTTCATTTTTATCGCAGTCATGTAGAACTCAAGTGAGTTTTTAAATGAGCAATTTCTGAACAAAGTGGCCTAGAAAATGGGCTACTTCAAAACACTAGAAAAACACCACAGCGGAACCTTTATTAACCGTTCAAACAAAAAAAAAATCTCCCAACGCAACCCGTAAGTTGGGAGCATACAATATGATGCCATCCGGTCAGTAAGAAACAAAATAGCGCTAGTTGAATCAGCAGTGTCCCGATGAAGAGAGAAGGTACAGGTGGGTGGGAAAGGTGCTGAAAAGGCGGCCTGCGAATGGTTGCCAGATGGTCAGCAACACCAGCATGAGAACATGATTGCTGGTCTATTACCGTATCTAAAAAATAAAAATAAAAAAAAAAACTCACTGGTGGTTGACATCCACCTTAAAATGCGAGACCAGAACACACATTTGGAAGTGAAAGCGGGGCTTCGACCGGGTCAAACATTTAACAGAGTAGAAGCTTCGTAAGGCCGCGCCGGCCATACGGTAAATCATTCTTAAAGGCCCATAATATCGGGAGCTTCTGCGAGATGAGCGATGAGGTGCATGACGACGAGTTTCGTGAGGTGATGCTCAGATGAGTGAATGCGTGGGGCTGGAATCTGGGCCGGAGCCTATCAGGCAAAACAAAGTAGGTGGGCGCCATTATGGCTTGAATTGACACGTGCCAAAATCTCTCATCGTGCCATGATGGTACTTGATTATATACTCTGCGTGCTACAACACCCTTTTAATCCACCCACGCATTGAGCACTGCTCGTTTACAAGATCACATTTGAAGCAGCGGCCAATTATGGTTCAAATCATTAAAATTGTACATAATCCGGCGTAGATGCAGTTGAATTTATGAAGCACCGAAGACGAAGTCATGTCTTTAAAACTCATTGCGATGTGTTCACATGGTTGATTAAGCCAAATGGTTTTCAAAGTGCCTGCCAGCGAGCTGATGTGAAAATGAGGGGCTGTCATCAATTCACCGCAACCAATACGTAATCGGCATCCGCCTCTCCGCCAGCCCCACGGGCACGATAGAGGGTGTTGATTTGCATTGGACAAGGCGGGGAATTTGTTCCCTCGCTTTCTGACCGGTTGCCTCGTTCACAACTTTGCAGGAGGCGAAGAAGAAGAATGATTTTTAATTGAGTGGATAATTTAACAAGCGCTTGCATTTCTGCCTTTATGTGACAGACGCAGCGGAAACCAACAGAGTGGAGATGATGAGAATGTCATAAAAATCCCTCAGGTCGAGCTGCTCTCATGTAGTTTTTGCTCATCTCTCTTGAGTGAGTCGGATCACGATGACGCACAAATATTGTTCTGGGTGCAGGTTGTTATACTCCAGACTGCCATCAGCTTTGCACCTTGCTTAGGGTTTAATTGCCGACACACGTTCCACATTCAAAGAGGGCCGCCAGATCCGGAACCCGCACCTTGTATCATGATAGCCAACAGAAAAGGTACGACAGGGCGAGCGGCGGCTTATTTGCATGCGAGGAGAGAGGCCGCTTCTACAAATGTCTCATCTCAATATTGTCTCGGTGGTGGACTCCAGCAAACAGCAGCTTCTCGAAATATTATGCCACAGAAGCAAAGTTCGGGGATGACAAAGTTGAGGAGGTGAAGAGCCAATGGAGCGGAATGTTTATGTGCAGCCATGAAAAAAAAAAAAAATCATTTATCTTCTGCGGGTCGATTGCCATGGAAACAGGGCACACCGCCTCCCCTCCTGCCCCTGTTCATCCTGCTCCCTCTTTGTTTTTACAACCCTCGCTCGTATGAAACGGCCGAGCATGGGTGAAACAGGGCACACCGCCTCCCCTCCTGCCCCTGTTTATCCTGCTCCCTCTTTGTTTTTACAACCATCGCTCGTATGAAACGGCCGAGCATGGGTTCAAAGGACCCAAATGGTCGTTTTTTTTTTTTTTTAATCAGAAAATTACAAGAAGGAACTGTGCTAAAGAAAACTAAACGAAGCACTCGTATTGGTTTCTATTTCATGCTTTGAGGAAACCTTATATTTATCCAAAACCTGTTGCTGTAGTCAGTTCCAGCAAAGGTAGAGATATTCAGAGAACAACGGGATTTTCTGTCACACGTAGGTGGACGATTTTCCCATCGAGCTTGCTCAAAGCCACAAATGAAACTTGAACGTAATTATGCCGCCGCCGGATAATGACGCTCTGTCTCAAGAGCTGTGCGGAGAGGAAGTGGCTGGGGCATGTCTGCAGGTAGATTCTGCAACTTTCAACGACCTGCTCAATATGTTCAATCTGCTGCATAAGTTACACCACTTTTTTTTTTTTTTTTCTGGGCCGGCCAGAACCTGAGGAGAGATGTTGTTGTCAGATTTGTGCCCTTTCTGGTTCAAGTGATGGGCTTGTCTGTTCTCGCCTGGATGAATAATTTAGTAAGGGAAGAAAGAGAAGGGCAGTTGTTGACCTCTGCTTGCTACAGAGCACCTGCAGCCGTGATCTGGACGCTTCACCATAAACAAGATGGAAGAACAAGAAGGGAAGAAAACCGAGCAGACTTTTGTTTTTTAAGTTTCATGTTCTCCGATAAGTCTTAGTTGGTCTTTGAGGGAACGACTCAGTTATAGCTGTACTTTTATTTTGTGTGTGTGTTTCCATTTAATTGTTTTGTATTCATGGCCTAGGAGTGCTTTTCATCTCAATATTTACATAATTAGGACATAGGTTAGTGCCAGACATTTGGCTCTGCCTCCAGCTGAGGATGATGATAACTGCAATTAGTCCAACGAGATGCTTAGCGAGATGCGGTCTTGATAAGCGCCGACTGCCGCAGGTGTTGCCCATGACGGTGGCAGGTGGCCACCGGCAGTCCGTTTTCCGTTGCTGTTCGTGTCCGTTTTCATGGAAGTTGTTGGTTCTGTTCGTCTCAAATGTCAGGGCTCTTTGGTCAGTCAGCCATAAAGTCAAGTC